AGAAGGAACTGAGAAACAGGGTGCTCTGTAGCATGTGGCTTTGAGAGGAGGTAGTCAGTCTCCTTGCCTCATCTGGACTCTTTACTGCTTTTGGACAGACAATCTCTGTGAGTTTTCAGTGTTTCCTAACCTCCATGCATAAACAATTTGTTGGTCAAAGCTCCACTGTAATGTTTTCCTAGCAACCTCTTTATCTTTTGATGCGGGGAGGTTGAGGAGGAGTTGCCCGGCCAGTCACTGCCAAGAGTGATTGCGTTTCCTGGATTATTGAAGTCTATGTGAGCTAAGGCAGAAGCTGTGGGCTAAGCTTGGCCCAGAACGATTCCCCTCACCGTGGTGTGCTCCTGCCCACAGACAAGACTCCGTGTGAATGGATCTCTGTGATGTTCAAAGTAGCTACATTAAGAAGCAAAGCCCCAGGGAATTAGAAGGAAGAGGAAAAAGGAAAAGGAGAAAGCCACACACATGTACTACTTACTAGATAATCAGGAGAGACGGCGTTCACATCCTGTTACCTTAAGCACAAATAACCCCAGCAGCGCATTTCAAGAGGAGGCCTCTTCAGTCAGGAAACCCTGCCAGATGTCTCTCCCCTTCCTGGATTCCATTTCTACCTGCCTGTGCTCTTTTAGGCTTTGGTCAGGGCTTTCAACTCTTTCTGTCCCTTTGTTAAGTCCCTTTCTTTTAGCCAGAATTACAATCAGTCTGGGAGGTGAGAGAGGTACAAAACAGGAAGATGGATGTAGTCACAGTTCTTCCCTGGCTGTGAATGGGGCGAGGCAAGATTTTATCCACTGCTTTCTTTTCCTTGCCTGTTCTCCTTTTGTGCCTCTGCCAGAATGACTCATCGCTGCTTTACTCTGGGCAAACCCGACAGCCTGTTGTGCCATGGGACATACTGATCAGCGTATGCACTCAGCCTCTCTTCAAAGAGGGAGTCTCCTTTCTATCTTGGATGAGGCATCAGTTAACAATTCAGACCCAATTAATCGAAACTCACTGACAAAAGTCTTTATGCCATAAGAGAGAGCGAAAGAAGACCAACAGGCAGCCATGTTAGCTAGGTCTTTGCAGCCCGGAGCCATGCTCTGCATCCTCCCATATTTAGGCTGGAGTGCTCTGTTGGAGAGAGGGTTCTGAGGAGGATTACTCTCAAAAGGTCACCTTGGGGAAGACTGTTACCTTGTTTCTCAGAATATAACATGGTCTCAGAGATTTGGGGACGGTCTCTATACAGACTTAGTGTCTGTAGAGGTTACCATTGGTGCTGGCACTCAAGGTTAGTGGTGACTCTGAATGGTGGGGGTGTTAGGGTGAGGAGGCCTACAAAATCCTGATGCTCAGATGTCCCCTGGCTACAACATCAGATCCTACAGGTGCGGCGCCTGAGCACACTGTTTTTTCTCCATGTGCTTCCAAAGTTCAGAATAGTATAAGGACTTGCGATCTGGACATTTACAATTCAAAGTGTGTTCTGTAAAGCTGCAATACCTGGGAACTTTCTAGAAATGCACATGCTCAGGCACATCACTGATCTACTGAATCATAATCTGCATCTTAGCAAGATCCCTGTGCAACTTGTATGAACATTACAATTTGAGAGCTCGTTATTTTTATGTATTTGGAACAGGGTCTCACTACACAGCTCAGACTTCTATCATTGAAAAGGAAACCACATGAAACTCCTGTGTTCAGCCTCCTAGTGCTGGGCTTACAGGTATGCACTACCATGTCCAGTCTTGATGGCCAGCGCAGTGCAGGGGGGCAGGGCTGTCTTAGCATTGTGGTGCCAGAGGTCAAACCCAGTGGTTACTTTTCTTAAAGGGATGGACCATCTTGGCAACAGTAGGCCCGTGTTCTCTCCCTACAGCCACCACTGGAATTGTATATAACTGCTGTCCCTTTAAGATGGATCTTCACACTCCATTTTGCCTCAATTTCACACCTGTCCAAGTTCATTAACTCCCATTCCCTGGAATTTGAAGTTTCTATTATTGTGGCAAAACACACATAAAACAAAATTGACCATTAGTGACATGCAATGCATTCACACTGTTGTGCAACACCCAAGTTTCTAGTTCTGGAAACTTTTCTATCATTTGATCATTTCTATCAAACATTTCTATCTTTTTTTTTTTTTTTTCCTTTGGCAGAACGGGGGATTGAACTCAGACCCTCACGCTTGCCAGGGAAGCGCTTATTCTACTGAGCCATCTCCCCAGCCCCACAGTTCTATCATTTGAAAAGGAAACCTCACACTTCTCCCTTCAGCCCCCGGAAATTAGTAATCTGGTTTTTGTTACAATGAATATGCTGAATATTTCATATAAATAGAATCATACAATATGAGGCCTTTCATGAGTGGCTTCTTTCACTTAGCATGATGTTTTCAAGGCTCATCCATGTTGTAACATGTACCATTACCTCATTCTTTTTCATGGCTAAATAATGTCCTATTGAATGGATATACTATGTTTTTATCTATTCATTAGTTAATAGACATTTGGGTAGTTTCCAAGTTTTGGTCACTATGGTTCTGCTGTAAGCATTTGGATGGAAGTTTTTGTTTGAACACCTGTTTTTAATTCCTTTGGGTGTATACCCAGGAGCCAAACTGCTGACTCAGATGGGGGATCTTATGTGTAACTTTTTTTTTTTTTTGCTTCAAAAACTTCTTTTGAGAAATAGACAAAAGCATTGTGCAACAGAGACTGACATAGAATGACTTCAGACAGCAGGGAGAGCAGCTGGCCCAGGTAAGCAGAGCTGTGGCGAAGAAGGAAGAAGGCTGTGGTGCCAGGTGTAGGTGTGGTCGCTCTCGCTGATCTGGCCTGGGTGTCCACGTAGGGGAAATATCTGAGGGTCTTTGCCATTGAAAGGCAATGTGTAACTTTTCAAGGAACAGTCACATTGTTTTCCACAGTGGCTACATCTGACATTCCTATCACCAATGTAGGAGCTCTAACTTCTTTACCTCCTCACCAATACTTGCTATTTTCCGTTTTTGTCTTTTAAAAAATTTTAGCCATACTAAAATAGGTGGATAGGTGTTACCGTGCTTTTGGTTTGCACTTTCCTAATGACTAATGAGTATCTCTTCATATGTTTGTTTGTCACTTGCACTGCTTCTTTAGAAAATAATGTGTATTTGTGTCATTTGCTTTTTTTTTTTTTTTTTTGGCAGAATCAGGGATTGAACTCAGGCCCTTACGCTTGCCAGGGAAGCGCTTATTCCACTGAGCCATCTCCCTGGCCCTGTCATTTGCTTATTTTTAAATTGGATTTTTCATTTTTGAGTTGGAATAATTATTTATATACTCAACTAGACCCTTATCAGCTATCTAATTTGCAAATACTCTCCCCCATTTTGTGGGTTAACTTTCTTGGTAGTGTTTTTTTCACAAAAATTAATTTAATTAATTTAGTGGTACCTGGGGATCATACTCCCGACTTTCACACTGAAATACATTTTCAATCCTTTTTTTTTTTTGTCCAGTTTGGGGTAGGATCTTGCTAAGCCAATAAATTGCCCATGCTCAAATTTCTACTTTAGCCTCCCAGGGTGCTGGGATTATAGGCCTGTGCCATCAAACCTGGCTCCAATATATTTTTCCTTTTGTTGCTGTGTTATTGCTATCAAGATGTAATAGACAGCTAACTTAGGAATATTATAGGCAGTCAGACAAGGCTGAACCTTTGAAAGAGTCAAGTCAAAAGGTGAAAACACATTATAACTGTGGTTGGCTGGGACGCATGGGTTGGAGACCACACCTGAAGATAAGAAAAAGACCAAGCCTACATATATTCCCCAAGGGATAAGTGACAACACCTGGCGTAATGTAGTCTAGATAGGCATCAGTCACCTCCATGGGTGACCAAGGTCCCCACTTTCACCACTTGCCTGAGAAGTTCTTTGTTCTTTCCATGCTTATTTTCTAGGTGATTTGCTTGCCCATTGGATCAAGCTGGTAAGCAGCTATACTTAATTTTTTTTTTTTTTTTTGTTTTTTTTTGGCAGAACGGGGATTGAACTCAGGCCCTTGTGCTTGCAAGGAAGCGCTTATTCTACTGAGCCACCTCCCCAGGCGTATATTTAAATTTTATTGACTGATCATAACTGTAACCCACATTGTACCCATGTGGTTGAGCTCCATAAAACTAGTGAGGTTCTCAGGCAACCCATTTTCCAGCTATCCCTTCCTGTCCCTTTCAGACAGGAGCTTTCTAACTCTCAATAAGTATTTCCTACTCATAACTTCTGTTGTAGGAACACAAACTTGGTGTATCAGACATCTAACAGGTTGAGAGCTGTAATATTTCCTTTATATCATATCTGGAGATTCTAATATCATCCCTATATCAACGACATGAAACTTTTTCCCTTTGGACGCTATCAGGGAACAGAAAGAGAGATCTGAGAGGAAAAGAAGTGGAGATGGCTTGAGATTTTTTTAGTTCAAATTCAGTTGGAACATCTCAACATTTATTTTCTTTTTGCAAATATGTAAAATTGTGACTAATATTTAGGGCCAATAGATTAGATCTTATTCTCCAGCACTAATCATTGTATATTAATGGGAAACCTCACAGTGTTTGGTCTTTCTAAAAACTAGTCCTAGATGATGCATATAATTATTCAAAACTATTGTATGTTCTGGATTTCAGTTTTACATAATAAGGAAAAAGGAAACATGTTTGGAAAGGCATGCGGTGTTTCTTTTCTATTTGCCACATTTCCGTGAAGCCAGGTTATTTGGTCTCACTTCAACTATACTGTCGGGAAGTAGCTTATCATGTCAGGAAATTTTCATGGAAAAAATAGCCAAGCTCTTCAATGCTAGCTCTTCAGTACCAGGTACTGTGTTTGCTGAAGTCACACAGCAAGTGAAATAGGAACCCAGGTCTTCAAATCTAAAGCTCTGTTTCCTAGGGTATGTGTCCAACAAAGTTAGGTGTAGTGGTCCCATAATCATTTAAACTAAATTCTAGGTATATAACTTGCCAAAGACCATATAGGTTGCATCAGAGCTCAGATTTAAGTTTTTGGAGTTGAAACACTAAGCGAAACTCATGTTTTAAAAATGACCAGAGCCTAAAACATCGCCTTACCTCCCACGCTAAGCGCAGGTTTCAAGACAGCGGCCAAGCAGGACCTGTTTCTGCGCACGTCCAGGTCCCGCCCCTGCCCCATTTCCGGCCCGCCCACTCAGCTGCGCAGGCGCGTTGGCTCCCTGAGGCCTTGGGCCTTGCCAGTAACCCAACCAAGCTGTGGCTTAGGTCTAGAGCAAAGGGATAGCCTAGAGATGGCGGCGGCTGAGGCAGTGTCGCCGGAGCCCGCGGCTTCAGAACAGCCAGTGGAGCTCTCGGCCTCCGTTCGCGCGAGCATCGAGCGGAAGCGGCAACGTGCGCTGATGCTGCGCCAGGCCCGGCTAGCGGCGCGGCCTTACCCGGCGACGACGGCTGCAGCTACTGGAGGTTTGGGCTCTGCCCCCCCGCCCCCACCGTCCCCTGCCCTCCCCCCCCCGCCTTCCTGGCCCCCGAGGGCTCGCGCTGCAGCCAGGTCCCCGGTGTGCGTCTGCTCCACTCTCAGTGCGGTGCGCGCACGTCCTGCCCACCCGGAGGAACCCGCCCCGCGAGCCTGGCGGAGCGTCGGGTCCGGTCGCGGGGTGGCTCCGCGGTGGAACCCAGGGCTCGGACTCGCGGGTTCCGCTTGGGCCGCAGCTGCCCCGGCAGGGTGTTCTCGCCAGTGCCCGTCAGCGCCTCGGTTTCCCAGACCTTCCCTTTCTGTCCTTAACCTGCTGCGCATCTGCCAGCGCCAGGGGTGGACCTCGTGCAAAGCTTTTAGAGACCTGTGATCCCTTTAAATGATCATGCACACTCTCTGGTTCTTCCACCCTCTTAAAAAAGCACCTACTTAGAACAAGCTAAGCAAAGCACAGGGACCGCGGTTCAATCCCCCAGCACCACAGGCCAGCCAGCCCCGCCCCCTGGTGGGCTGAGCTGGCCACACACACACACACACACACACACAAATAAAATTTTAAAAAAAGGGGGTCTTTTTGCCTAGAGTAGGAGATGTAAGCCACTGCCCTCTTGTGGCTAGAAGTAACCTCTAAGGTCCCCAAGCCTGCTTTCCAAATGACCCTGTTGGACTCTTACAGCCGTACTGGAAAATATAAAGGGCAAAGTTTGGTGTCTGTATTCTACTGATGTTGTAACTGAGAATAGAAAAGGAAAGTGATGTAATGATGTACTCTGGTTCTGGTGTACAGGTTCATCAGGAACTCAGGGCATCCAACAATGGGTTCAGTTAGACAGGGCAACCCTTAGCTGTCATTTAAAAAAAAAATCTGTCAACAGTGTGTCTGTCTGTTGGCATTGCTCTTGGAAATAATTCACCCAACTATACCTATACCTACAGATTTCTAGGACTGTTCCCTTTTCTGCATTCTTATCATGCTTTCTTTGGTGCAGTAACTTCTCCCTCTCCCTCCCCCTCCCCTTCCCCCTGGGGGGGGGGGCATCACAATGCAGTTCAGGCTGGCCTTGAGCTCACTTTGTAGCCCTGGCTGGTCTCAGATTGACAACAGTCCTTCTGCCTCAGCCTCCCAAATGCTGGGATTACCTAGTTTTTCTTTCAATGTCAGCATGCCTAACACACAAATCTTTATTCTTCCTATTTGAAACCTTTCCATAGTTTTTATTGTTGCCCACATGATAAACTCTAAGCACCTTGACCTCCCCCCACTCTTGTGTTTCTCCACACTTTTTTTCTCCCTATCAGTAACCCAGTTCCTTACCTTTCCAGCACATACATTGTTCTGCTCTCTGTGCTCTGCGGGACCCTCAGCTCATGTGATTGTGCGCTATAGTTGAGGCTTCCTGGTGCAGATGGTGTGATCTTGTGTCTTGTTTTCTACCTCAGCCCCAACACAAGTATGTCACTTATTGGTGCTCAGACCCCTCTTGGCTGGGTGAAAGGTGGGAATGCCTCTGCCTTTCAGTCTCATTTCTCATACATCCTTTCCTTTCTCAACCAAGTGGTCCCCGCACTGACCCAGTCTTAAAACAACTGCCTGTTTATTTCACAGCTGTATGCACTCTAAACCTTTTATAATTGCCATCAGATTTGCTCTTTGGATACTGACTGGAAACTTTTATCTTTAGGCAAAGAATCTGTTTGCAATTAAATCGGGTTTAAAGAAGTTTAACAAATCATGTAAAAAGCCTGCTCATGTAATGCTTTATAGTGTGTGAAGTGATTTTCATTATCTTCCTTTGAGAGCTAGATATATCAGAATTATTCTCCCATTCTCCATAGAGCTGTATAAACATTGGTGGATAAGGACCTTGAACCCAGTGCTTTTCTCTGGCAATTTCTAAAGATGACCACCCATTTTTCAGCAGCCTGGAAAATGTAGAGAAAGCAAAGAATTGTGGTTCTAAATAGATCCATATCATAGACAAGTGTAGAAAATCCTTGATAATAAGACAAGCTTGGATATTGCAGTGTTGGGAAGTTCTAACTGATGGGGCCTTGGCTCTTTTGGAAGCAACTGAATATGTCCTCTTCGAATTTTCCACCTCTCATTTCATGCACCATCCAGAGTTCTACATGAGAGGACTTACATATTAAGAATTTTAAATCTTTTTTATTGTTATTATTTTTTAATGCATTTAATACAGGATCTACAGGGTCTCACTAGGTAGATTGGACTTATAGTGAGTCTCCTGGTTTCAGCCTCCCAAGCGCTGGGATTACAGGCACAAGAATTTTAAATCTTGTAATATATTTTGCAATGTTTCCACCTCTATTGATAGTTTGCTGTTAATAATGAATCACTTTGTTTCCTGCTTCTCCCACCTGTAAACCCTCAGGACAGTTCTTAAATAGATGTTTCCCCAATTTGACTTTTATCCTGTTTTCTCTCTGTTCTGGTTAAAATGATTTTGGCATTGTCTCATATAAAGTTTGTGTTTAGTAAATGCTAGTTCTTGTTACTGCTGTCCTTTTTCCGTAGGCTGTCATGGGTGCTCACTGTCTTCCCAAGTCTGTTGTACTGAAATGAGTTGACAGAGCAGCCCTGAGGGGCTATCCTTAGAAAAGACTGCTTGGAAGCCTAATATCTGGGAACTTAGATTTTGGAATATTCTATTGTTTGGTAGCTGGTAGCTTGGCCAAGCTGTGCAGTGTGACTTGTGCTAAATACCTGCTTAGATCTCTGGGAGTCTGGGATTTTGGGTGCCGGTAGGGTGGTGTACCTCAACTCCATGAGAAAGGAAGCTACTATACTGACCCCTGATTCAGACTGCCCTTGCCCAGTGTATCTTTCATTTTTTCTGTTATCTGTATCCTTCTAAATATCTTTCTGGTAAATGGGGAAAGTTAAGTAAAGATTTTCCTAAGTTCTGTGAGTTACTGTAACAAATTAACTGAACCCAAGGAAGGGGTCTTGGGAACCCTGATTTGGCAGAAGTACTTGGGGCTTGTGATTGGCGTCTAGAATGGTGCTGTCTTAGGGACTGAGTCCTCAACCTGTGGGATCTGGCTCTAGGTAGACAGCATCGGAACTAAATTATAGGACCTCTAAATGGTGTTCACTGGAGAATATGTGTTTGCAGGGAACTGATGTCTGGAATCAGAAGTGTTTTGAGTGGGTTTTTCCTGTTCCTAACAGGAGACAAATTTCAGATGTGGCTTGGAGTTCAGAGAGACCTGCGTTGTGGTTCTGATTTTTTAGCCATGTGAATAATCCTGGATTTTATATAGAGAAGGGCACATTTCTGCTTCTTCTTCTTCTTTTTTTTTTTTTTTTTAACATTTCTGCTTCTTAAAAAAGCAAGTGGGTCACGTTAGATACTTCCCAAGATTTCAGCTGGGTGTCTAACAGCCAATTTTTATATAATTTACATTGGTTAATTCTTTCCCCTGCTTCCGCGGAATCTGTACTGCGTGGCTGTGGAACAAAGTGGGTATAAAATAGGGTAAAAACTAGTATTAAACTTTTTGCCAGACATGGTAGCACCTGTCTGCAATCCTTGCTACTTACGAGGCTGATGCAGGAGGATGACAAATTCAAGACCAGAGCAGGCAACTTGTTAAGACCCTGCCTCAAAATAGAAGAAATAAAAAAATAAAAAGTGCCAGGGATGTAGTTCATTGGCGTAGCATTGGCCTAGCAGGCGTGAAGTGCTGCTTTTTTTCCCCCCAATCTGAAAAGAAGTTCTGATTACAGAAAGGTAGAATGAATATGCCATCTATGGAGATTTCTTAGTTCTTAAGAACTGAATTGTCTTGTAACAGTAGGTACAACCCACCATGTTTTAAGAGCTACATAGGTGCTGAATTTTGTCTTTGTACTTTTATTTCAGTACTTTCCATTTTCCGCATGTGTGAATGATATAGATCTTCAAATATAAGGGAAATATTATAACTCTCAAACTGTTAGATGTCTGATATGCTGACATGTGTTATCCAAAATTGAAGAATAAAATCTGAGGAACAATGGAGGTCAAGAATAGGAAATTTTATTGAGGGAGAGATAGCTCCTGCCTGAGACAGACAGGAGGGAACCCAGAAAGTAGGTTGCCCATGAGCCCACTTCAAAGGGAGTTTTATAAGAGTAGGATAACGAGATAGGTACAAAATCATGCGATGGATACAAGGTGGGACAAAACTAAGGTCAGCCACTAAGATTACAAGTTACTTGGGTAATGTTGATGCAGTGGGGAAGCAGGTCACATAGCCAGTGTGTATGGATAAAACAAGGGCCTTTTTTGGAAGAGAGGAGTCAGGCGGTCCTTGCCACCCACCTGGGTGACGGATGCTTATTTAGAATATTTATCATTATTGTTTGTCCCTCTGGGAGGTATGTAGGTCTAGTCATTCCATCTCTGTCTCGAGGTCTGCCCTTTAACAAATGTCATGTTCTTATCTTGTGTCCTGGCTCCTTTGAGGGTCTAGCCCCGTCTGACTGCTACTTCACTTAGCTGTCTATAATACTCTGATATGTGCCATGAAAAAGACTCAGTACTGACTTAAACTGGTACTGGATCTTGGGATGGAATAAGGCAGTTTGGGAGAGAGAAACTGAACTCTTTTGGGCATGATTTAGTATTATTCAGGATCTTGCTTAGGTCATGGGTTTTCCAGCTTTTCTTCTTGACTCTCAGCTACACTATTCATGAAATCAAAATCATACATTCTGGTCCATTTATCCATTATCTACTCATTTGGTGGGTACTCATGGAAACTTACTTATTTCAGAATGACTTATCTGTCAGTCTAATGGAACGATTTACAGATGAACAAGCGATGTAGTACGATAATTACTATTAACAACAGTAGAATTAGCTTATAATCTAATATTGTCATTTAATACAGGGAGAAGTTGAGGCCATAAATGGGATGTGGCTGAAGCAAGATAATACATGTTAAATTTGACTTAAAAATTGAGATAAAGTATCCTGATTTTTTTTTTTTTTTTGCGGAACCAGGGATTGAACTCAGGCCCTTGCGCTTGCCAGGCAAGCGCTTATTCTACTGAGTGATCTTCCTGGCCCCGAGATAAAGTATCAGGATATTGGTGTATGCCTGTAATCCCAGTACCCTGGGAAGCTAAGGGAAAATCACAAGTTGGAGTCTAGACTGGACTACTTAGTGATACCCTGTCTCAAAACAAAAATACAGAAAAACATGTGCGAATATAGCTTAATGCAAATACCTTGAGTTCAATCTCTAGCACAAATATGTATGTATATATATATTAGCGTAGTAATATGTATAATGTACTCCTTTGAATTTTGCCTTGTATCTGCTTATGTAAACACCAAGATGATAAAGATACAGACTTTTTCAGGACCTTAGAAGTTTCCTTGTTGGTTCTTCCTAGTCAGTGTTCAGCCCACACCCTCAGAAGTAACTACTGTTTTTTTTTTTTTTTTGAGACCATATTTCACTGTGTAGTTCAGGCTGGCCTGGAACTCACAGCATCCTGCTTCTGCCTCCCACGTGCTGCTATTACAGACATGTGTCACATACCTGGTTGTATCTACTCCTTTTTTTTTTTTTTAAATGTATTTAGTATATGATCTATAGGGTCTCACTATGTAGATGGGACTTGTAGTGATTCTCCTATTTTCAGCCTCCCAAGCGCTGGCATTGCAGGCTCATGACACCATGCCCAGTCTCAATCGCAGTCTCCATGTGCCCCAGGGGCAGGGCCAGCATGCCACACCATGCCAGGGATTGAACCCCGGCCCCTGTGCTCTGCCTAAGCAGGTGCTTTAGTCTGCCGAGCTGTCTGGCCAGTCCCCTGGTTGTATCTACTCTTGTTCCATTTGGTTAGTATTATGTTTTTGAGCTTAGTATAAATAGAACCATCGTGGCTGGCTTCTTTTGCTCTTTGTAATTATCTGAGAGCTATCTATTTTGCTTCAGGTGTCAGTAGTCTATCTGTATGTTGCATAGTATCTTTTTGTACTACACTGCAGTTATTCCATTTGGCTTTTGGATCATTTCTATTTTGGGACTATAATGAATAAACCCTCTGAGAGCCTTTTTGTACATATATTTTGGTGGACATAAGAGCACACAATGTAGTATTTGATAAATGCTGTTAAGTTAAAAAATTATTACAGTAAAAGACACCTTGTTGAATAATCCCTCTCAAAATATTTCCCCTTGCTTTGAGCATG